TGTGGCCCAAGAATTGAGGTTGTTGATGTCACTTTGAAGATCAACGTTATCTTGTTGACTTTCAACTCTCTTCAGGACTTTCGTGTCATCAGCAAAACAAGCCACTTTTGATGACAACACAGCCTTGGGTAGGTCGTTCACGTATAGTAGGAAAAGTACTGGCCCTAGGATAGAGCCCTGGGGAACTCCAGACGTTAACTCTCGTTCTGGAGATGTTGCACCAAGTACTGTCACTCGTTGTCTTCGGCCATTCAGATAAGAGGTGAACCAGCTCAGCAAACTACCGGAGATATTAAATTGCCGCAATCTGGAAATGATGAGAGAATGTTGAACCTTATCAAAGGCTTTAGACATATCTAGGTATATCACATCAGTTTGCAGACCAGAATCCAGCAACGAGCCAATGTAGTTGAGAACTTCAACCAATTGGGTGACACAGGATCTGCCGGGAATAAAACCATGTTGCGCTCGGTGTAACATTTGCAAGAGGTGATCCCGTAGACTGACCAGAACACCGTTCAAGTACTTTTGATATGATGGTTAGCAGGAATATTGGACGATAGTTCTCTACATATTCCTTGATTTCTTTCTTGAACACCGGAACAATGTTTGCCAGCTTCCACTCATCTGGAAACACGCCTGAGTGAAGCGACTGATTGTATAGTAAAGTTAGTGATGGTGCAATTTGGTCAGCCGTTTCTTTCAAAAGTCTTGCAGAGATCTCGTCAGGTCCAGTTGCTTTAGTAACATCAAGTGAACGAAGGGCGGAGACTACTTCGCAAGGAGAGAGAGAAATTTCGGAAAATTCCGGCCCACTTGTAGGTGTTAATTGTAGGCGAGGTTCGACTGTATCACTGGAGAATATGGATGTAAAGTGATTGTTGAAGGCTTCAGCAATCTCAACCGGGTTGGAAACTAATTTCCGAACAGGTTTACCAGTGTCCGTGTCGTGGATAGTTGATGGTATTGACACTTGTTGAGGAACACTGCTCGCTTTATTGGAGAGTTTGAAGGCAGACCAGAATCTTTTCGGATTTGACTGAATATCTTGTTCCAGCGACTCAAAGTATCTGGCTCGGCTTTCGCTTATCAAACGTTTGACTGCCAACCGTAGTTGCTTGAACTTGGCAATCAAGAAACTTGAAGACGAACTTCTCAGCTTTTTACGTAACGTTTCCTTCTTTCGAATCATATACAATATATGTCCAGTTATCCATGGTGGTGAGCGCTTGCCTTTTATCTTTCTCAAAGGAATAAAGTTACGTACTACGGCTATATACCTTTCTTTCCATTCCAACCAGGCTCTGTTTACATCAGTATTACTTTCCACGATGTTGGAAAAGTCAATATTCTGCAAGTTCGAGCGTAGACCTTCGAAATCGCCTTTCTTTTTTTTTTTTTATATTAATGAACTGATGGTGGGCACGACAAGGACAGAAAGAGATTGAGGAGAAGAACCCTAGCAGCTGGCCTTGGATCAGTCTGGGACTAAAGCTAGCTTAAATTAAAGGACATTGACAATAGTTAAAGGACATTGACAAAGTTATTTTAGTTCATTTGAAAGAACTCTTAAAACTATATATTAAACTCTATTACAGATTGTTTATATCTTGCTTGGTTTTCAAAAAATTTCGACTGAAAAAATTGAGCTGTTCGCCATCTTGGATTGTTGAGGATATGCATGCTAGCTACGTCAAGTGAGGGGTCACGCTAATTTTTTATCTTATTAAGAGTAAGCGATCAATATGGATCCAAAATTTCGTTTCTGGTTGCTGTCTGAAATTTTTGAAATGACTAAAAACATTTCAAACAATTTTGGATTGTTACTCGGTTATTTTAGAGTAGTTTTACATGGTTGACCAACTCCTGACGTCATAAAAACCATAGTTAATGAGGTCAAGAATTAGTCCAAGATGGCGGACAGCTCATTAATTTCGATCTAAATATTTTGAGAATTAAGCAACGTATAAATATGTTTAATTAAATAAAAAAAATATACGGCAAATTGGTAATGGAGTTTAATATATAATTTTAAGAGTTCTTTTGAATGAGACAAACTAATTTTTTATTGCCAATGTCCTTTATTAAAGAAATCAAATATAATATGCGAGTAAGTCAAGTCTGTCAAGAAAACATCAGAATATCTTACTGTTCGACTTTGGCAACACTCCTGCAATAATAAGAACTGTTGCAGCGATAAGACAATAAGCAAATAATGGCCTGCGTCGTCCAAACCTAGAAAAAGAAAATATTTAATATAATTTTCAATCTTTTACCTTCATAAATAGCAAGCTATACAGGGAGAGGTATATTAGAGAGGTGTCCGTATTGGAGAGGTTTCGGTAACGAGATGATCGAATATGTTCTTCAATATACCACCAAAACACACCTATTTAGGACAAACATGGTTGAAATAATGATGACAATCTCCAATGCTCCACTGATGAAGTAGTTTAAGTATTTATTTCCAGCAAGATTTGAGATATTCAATGTTAGTCCATAGTAACCCAGAGATGTTGAAAACCTGAAATATTTATTGTGAAATTATTAGATTATGTGAAATGGATATCCAGTAGTCATTACAGTTATACTAGGTCGGTTCTAAGCTTTTTTCCCGGTTTGGTCGAGAAACACCATCTCTTATCGATCCGTTGTTAACGCAGTGGAATTAATGGCAGTACTTACCAAATCACCATCATAATCAAAGATCGTTTCCTCAACACACTTGATCTGAAAATATCAACAATTGTATAACTCTTGATATCTAACTTGTCTGCCTCCGTCTTTTTAACGTCATTCACCGTTTTATCAAATATATCTTGTGGGAAAGGGATCTTGTTGAATGTACTGATGTTTCTGATGACTTTCTCTGCCTGGTCAAAACGATTATTGATTAGAAGCCAACGAATGGATTCAGGGAAGCACCTACAGGAAATGTGGAATATTTTAGGTTAAATTTAAGATTTTAGTAAATGAATGTTATCCCTGAATCAGGGGCGGATCTAGGGGAGGTCAGATTAGTTACGCGACTAAGGTAAAAAAGGCATATAAAAAAAATTGGATCAAGGTTTTAAAATTATTTCCCACTCAGCGCGCAAACGCTTTCCTTCACTCCGATCACGCAATCAACTCTATCACACTCCAGCATGTAAACTTCGATCAATTTTTGCACATTGAGCCAGCGATTGATTAGTCAAACGATAAGTCAAATAAGCGGTATTCAAATGAAAATTGACTTTTTTGTGTTTTAGTTCGTGTAATTTGATTGGTCAAATTTGGTCTGACTACACATAACAGGCATATTGATTGGTCATACCTATTTTGACTCATAATCTAATAATAAATATCAATGCCCAGCATAATGTCCGTATAAATATAATAATAGCCATAACAAAGAGACTGAATTTTCATAAATCTAATTGTTTACAGAACTAATGTTTCGTCTTGCACTTAAGACATCTTCAGAGTAAAGAATGATATAAAATTACAAAGTTATATAATATGCATGAATAAATTACAACTAATTACAGAGTATAGAATTACAAGTATAATCTAAGAGGAAAGGGAGCGGAAGTAAATAGGGTATGGAAAGGGGAATAGAGTAGAAGAAGTATGACTGAACTACCTTGTACGTTCAGGGAAGGTTTAAGTTTGGAAATGAGAAGGCTTTTATGGATCATAAGCTCGTGAGACGCAGTTCAACTTAATCGAGTCAAAGACTGTAAGCTATGGCACCATTGGCAGCCACCTTATGATTCAGAGCACAGCTACGGCGGAACTCGGAAGGGTCAGCTAGGGACTTATCCCAACCCGCCCTGTCAACATTTCCGGAAGGTTGACTGACTCGTGACATAAGTGTTGTGAGTTCGCAGCGACAATAGGACCCACGATCTCACGGGTGAAAGATGCTTGCCGTCTGGCTTTTGCGCGACCGAAGCCTCAACAAGACGAAGATACTTTTGTGGTCAACCCGCAGTTATCAAAGCGAGAAAATAATTTTCATTCCTTTCATTATTTGCAGTAGTCTTGTATCTGTTACGTACTTTAGCTTACAAATGTGAAAACGTTTATATCTGCTGTCCCATAATGTTTATTGAAATCACCAATCTGTTGAATTTACGACTGAATTGCTTACCAGTACCTACCAAACAAGTCCAATTTGAAACAGGCAAACTGTCGTGGACATCAGCTGAATGTAATGCCAGTCCTTGAGGAGATACGCGAACAGTGCCATTAACATGACTCCAGTAGCCCAAGGAATCCCTACACCAAGACCGGTGAATGTTCTGTACTGCGTGGCAAATATCTCTACCAGACTGGTAAAGGTGGCAATTTGTAGGCCCTGGAAGTAAGGAGTGAGGATCAAGTAAATAAAATTTACAATGCAACTATATAATATAGGCCGTTTGCTGTGACCTCGAAAAGTGCCTAGAAAACGATTTTCATTTCCCATGTCTTGGAACTGAAATAGTTTTACGGGAACTAACACTTTCGAACACTCTGAGTTCAAATCGGGAAAGTTCCCGCTCCGTAGACCGGCTGTTTTCTCACAAACCGCAATTTTATCTTCACTAATTTAAAAAATGTTTTCATTGTTCAACGACACGGATCGATGACAACAAACGATTATGTCATTCAAAAGGACCAGTTTCTATTAACCAGTCTTCCTTTTAACCATAGATATCTTATATACACTAGATAGTGCATCTAATTATTCTGCAATTCAAAAATTGAAGCCGTGATTGCAGACTCGGGATATTCCCATGAAATGAGAAGACTCGTATGTTTTCTATTTCTTAAACAGGGAACTTAAACATTAAGTTAGACCTATTCCAAATACATTTTCAAACTATTCAAATGATGAAAGTTATTGTTGTTTTTTACGCGTTTATGTATTATTTATTTATTTATTTATTTATTTATTTATTTATTTATTGTGCTTCGCTTCCAAACATCATACAATAATTGCATTAAAGAAGCTGGGACACCACAACAGCTTAACACCAATTACAGTGGGCCCTTTACAAAATATCAATATAAATATAAATATAGAAAACAGAAATAATTAACAATTTTTCGCCGAAGGCTAGGTGATTATATAGGTGAGTAGGGACAGAGACAAAGTCGAAGTTTTCATTTAACAATAATCATCGAACCTGAGGCGAATAATAGTTTTAGTATAATTTCATAGATGATTATTTGGGGAAAAAATATATAAAAATACACATTTCTTCGTCATTTAATAGTCAAAACGGCTTCGGCCGACGGCCGCCACAATATTTCGAAAATCGCTTAGGTGATTATCGATTATAAGTTGTTGTTTTATGTTTTCGTTGACGGAATGACTTGCGTTGACATTAATAGATGATCTTGTGACTCTTACGGGAGCAATACGTTCAGGTAAGGAATTTTGAGATATCGAAAAGATAGATAGATATTATAGATAGATAGATAGATAGATATTATTAGATATTATTATTATTTATAGATATTTTGTATATAAGATATCTTAACAAAAGACCGTTTTGCTCGAATCATTTTGAGTTATGTAATATTATGCGTGTTGGACGTAAACAACATATCTTGTCTACAACTTGGAGAAGATACAGATAAGTGAGATAACACTTTCTAGAATCCTCAGTTCTGGCTCAATCTCTATAAAATCACAAGGACGGCTTCCATATACGTTGAAATCACCAAATAAACAGTTCATGCACACATTTCTCCACTTCGTCGTAAGTTTACAGAGCAGATTTTACACTTTGGCACTGATTTTTGTCTTTGATGTGAACATTTATTCTTCTTGTTTAAGGTGGCTCCATACAGTTCCGTAGTATAAATACCTTATTGCGTAAAAATTTCAATTTATAAATTTTATCACTTCATCTATTAATTTTAAGCATTCCCTAGTATAAATTAAGTATTTGGTAGAAAACATTTGCAATATTCTTGAACATAATATTGTTTCCATGGTAACAGTAGTCTCGCCAAATATGGTATTTTTTGCTATTTTAAGCAGGTTTTTATTATTTATTTTCCGAATATTGCCGGTGACACCCCATTTTTAACTGCTGTATAGCTTTCACTTTTAATGCTGAATCTTATCCCTGAAAATAAAAAATTCTGTAGATTAGAAAAGCCAGAATAAAAAATTGCGGATTTAGAGTTTTCCAATCTACAGATTTTTTTAAAATTTTGATATTCTATTTGTTTTAAAAGAAGTTATCGTTGTGCAAAATTTCATCACATGTCACCGTGCAAAATTTTGAATTACGCCGTTTTATTGTGGTATCTCACTCGCTCGGCCGAAAGTTTTTCGAGCTCTGCAAGATCAATGAATTGACATGCGCGTACATGTTTTCGCAGGCGCATCTCCAGAAAAACACGCACAAAAAAGTTTTTAGTCTCGTCGAAATATCAAATATATGTTGTGTTTTCTTGCTTAGAAATGCAAATATCTTTAGTTTTGCATGCTAACTCGGGATAACGCCAAGAAAACAGGTGATTGTGTCGTTTGGTATAAGATATGTGTGACATGTATGAACTTTTTGGCTTTTCTACGTAGTTTTATATTCGTTTACAGTCGTAACTTGTGTGTTTTCATGTTGTTGTTGACAATTTAAAACAGTTTGAGCCCGCGCAAGATGCTGTTTCACTGAATTCCTTTGCTGTTAGTAACACTTTGAATACATTTACCAGTTGTAAGTACAAAAAACTTTGGATATATGAACTTATAAATCACCAAATATTGGAGTAAAAAACTTTTCGCCGGTCGGGCCGATCGCCGGTTTTCACAAGAGTTCGAAAGTTGAACATTGCATTTTTTACCTTAAAATGTCTTCTAAAAAGACTAGTTATTCAATGTCCAGGACAAAATCAGGACGAAGTTTGTTCTTTGAGGACAAATGAGAACAAGGAAGACTCAAAACATCCAAATAAACATGACTTGTGGTTCGGATTTCAGACTGAAAAAGTTGTATTTATTTTTGCATATATTTTTAATATTTTCGCGCGAAAACTCAACATTAGGACAAGATTAAGTACCAGTCCCCCGATGATGAAAAGTGTATGGAGCCACCTTAAGGTTATTTAAGAGTGATCCTGTCGTAAGTCTTCTACCAGCAACCCATCGACAATAGTTCATGTTAGCATTGTCTTTGCCGTTACGTTGGCTTCGCGTTACTTTTGTTTTAAATACCTTACTGGCGTTATTTTTCAGGCCAGTTACATAGACTTTAGCATTAAAGTTGTAGACAAGATATGTTGTTTATGTCCAACATGCATAATATTATATAACTCAAAATGATTTGAGCAAAACGGTCTTTTGCCTTAAAAGGAAGACTGGTTAATAGAAATTGGTCCTTTTGAGTGACATAAGCGTTTGTCTTCATCGACCGTGTCGTTGAACAATGAAAAAAATTGTCGTGAAATTAGTGAAGATAAAATTGCAGTTTGAGAGAAAACTGCAGGTCTACGGAGCGGGAACTTTCGGATTTGAACTCGGCGTGTTTGAAAGTGTTAGTTCCCGTAAAAATATTTCAGTTCCAAGACATGGGAAATGAAAATCGGTTTATAGGTACTTTTCGAGGTATCGATATCGGGTGATCTATTATTTTAGCGTGATCTATTATTATACTTCAACTAACCTGAAGAAAGAATCCAAGGAAGAACCGAAGGACAACAAAGGCGACGTAGTTCTTTATAAAGAACAAAAACAAGCCAAGAACAAATGGACAGAACATTGTAAACAGAAACACAGGTCTTCTTCCAAATTTATCTGATAATGTTCCGAACACCAGACTCCCTAACATTACTCCAACAAAATACATGGTTGTGGCCAGGTTGGCTTTGTAAGCATCATCACAGACAAGATCCCACTAAATGGAAGAAGTTTGCAAAGATAATGAGGAACTGCAATCAAGTTAGGAACTCAAAAGCGGAACGCTTGACGTAGTTTACGTGTAACTGTAAAAAACTATTTACCATTATCAATCCGTAATTCACTGAAGTAAATGATCAACATTTAAAACTAAATGTAAGAATAACTAAGAAAATGTCGTTGGGAATCCTCATCTCTTGTGATGATTATGTCGATCTAGCCTTTATTATGCAGACAGTTTCAACTGTTTAAGACAGGAGCCTTAAATAGCTTTGCTAAATGCGGATGAGTTATTTAGTAATTTTTGTATATAATTTTTGTAGTAATATTGGATTAATTGATTAAAGACACCTTTAGGCGCCATTCACAAACGTGAGGTCCAACAGGTGTATAGCCAATTGCAATTGTTGTCCAGTAACTCCAAGTTCAATCAGCTAGCTTTACTCCCTTCACAATTCAACTAAGTTTGGAATTAGTCCCTTAGACTATGAAGATAGTGTCTCTCCATGACTCCAGAAAGTCTGCAACGATGAGGTTCAGTTAATATAAGTAGTATTCCGCAATAAACTGCCGTGGTGTGTGTCTAACTACCGGGGAAAAAATTGAGAAAATTTTACCTCGGATATTATAGTCGCTTCGCCCTCAGGTAGATCATAAGTCCAACCATTTGGGCATGGTATCTTTTCTGAAGTATTATAACCATCAAAAAGATGACATCCATCCCATACTGACTTTCCATTTTTGCTTTTCAATGGTACAAGCAGGTTAACATCTGTGCTGTTTGCTACTGTGCAATGATGCTTAGTTTTCGCTCCTATAAATGCCATTCCAAGATGGTTCCAACTGATATAAATCCAGTTCGCAGCAAGATACAAGTAGAACAGGACTTGAAATTTGCCCGGTTTACCCAGAGAGTTTGTCACAGCATCCGTTGTCATTTTTAGAGGTTTTCTTGTAATTTAACTGATGTACACCTTAACTGAAATAGCAAAAATGACGATATATATAGTAGTAGGTCGTTTGCACAAATTTTAAAGAGAAGCCAAAATCATGAATGGCTGAATGGCATGGAGACAACTGTTAAACACAACAGTCGGTCATCGGCCATTTTCCGAGCAAAACGCCAATTTTGCCATCTACTGACTGCTCTACACGGACCTATTGGCCGAGCTTTTTGCCAATATGTCCGTGTAGGCCAATATGTCCGCATTTTTTCAACCTAGAGCTTGAAATGTTAATATTCCCCGTGTCATCAACTCTCACCCTCGTTTGACCGGGACAATCCCGAGATGTTGCTGGGGACATTAAAATAAGACATTTCAAGCTCTAGACTAACAAAATAAAGGTTTGATGAGTGTTCCAACTATGTTTCAACTTAAATAGAATACATGTTAGTGTTGGGAGAGCATTGGATAACAAAGCCAAAGGTCGTGTGACGTAATATTTCATGAACGAAGTGTGACTCTGTGTGAGTGTTTTACCAGGGTTTCCAAACACGCGAGAACAATGGAATTCACGAGGCTGTTTACCAAGCAATTTTTATTGTTCTCGAGAATTTGTAAAACACGAAAGACTATGAAAACACGAGGTCGGAACGGCCGAGTGGTTTTTATTGTCTTGAGTGTTTTGCAAATTCAAGAGACTGATTAAATATTGCTTGGTGAACAATGAACAGGTCTTGTCGCCGACTGCAGTGCCAAACTCAAAGCTTGCATGCAGAATCTGTAACAAGTTGGCGCTGCAATTGCAGTGCCAAACTCAAAGGTTGGCTGCAGAATATCCAAACTCGAAACATTCATAATTTGCAAAAAGGAATAAGATATCCGGATTTTAGTAACGTTTTTGCTTGTGTTGCCACATTGTATAAGTACGTGATGAACTTGTCTTATCCAGTTTGGATAAATATGCGTTAATCATTTAATTCCGGCATTGGCATTATCCTTGAGATGACGTTCATTCAATTTTCTCAAAATTTCATATTATCTGTCCAGGGTTTCATTCCTCGTGTTATCGCCATTTGTTGCTTAAATTAACAGAATTTTTAAGATATTTCCCTTACACTACATATAAATTGCTTGCTAAAACCCTACTATATTTTAATTTTTATCAACATTTTAGTGAAATTTCGTGCCGAAAATGCAGTTTTGTTGAATATTTGTTCGAAAATGGACTAAATAGAGTATTTCACTTAGCTTTAGAACGTGTTGGGTTATAATTTTCAATGGTTTTAGACCCAACTCTCAAGCAACAGTGAAGATATGCGATTCTGACTAAATTTTTTATCGGATTCGTGCATGCAGCGTTTACTAATTTTTTATCCATTTGGCATGAAGAACATCTTTCAACAGCTAAAAGCCTGATCTTTCCGCGAGTGAAAAATCTCGTTCATACGCATAACGCAGAGTAATACAGACACAATAGCGCACTGAAGTTCGCGATTACCATTTTTATACACATGCTGTATACCAAACGAATCACGCACAGTCCGATGTAATTCCCCTTGTACTGGGCGAATATTACTGATACCCTTTGCATATAAATATCGCTAGCAACAGAACTAGATCACGAAAGAGACGAAACAATTAAAAACGGCAAATGAAATTTTAATGCATTTTGCCTTAGACGTCACGCCAATGTAGAATGCTAGCTGTCTTTGAGCAATTTTATATTTTTTATCTGAGTGCAATCTAAGCAGATAAATAGTTGCATGTGCATGGTAATTTCACTACATAAGGAAACTCTCAGTCTGCATGTCACTGACATTTTGTAGTCAACACATGCATGCACGCCGTATTGATTTGTAATGGACCATTTGCATTATAGACTAAATTTTGATCTAGACAAATATTTCATCACAGCTTGAAAGAGCATCACAAAATTAGTAATATTCCAAAGTTTCGTTGCGAAATGTTGTAAAATGCGGAAAATATAGCCTTGCAAAGTTTGCAATTTTCAGTCATTTTAGAGTACAAACGGGAAATTGATGCCCCAACACCCGATTGGGCTGTCAATTTCGCGTGCGTAATACAAAATGACTGAAAAACGGCAAACTTCGCATGGCTATATTATCTACATTTTACAACATTTCGCAACGAAACTTCGGAATATTACTAATTTTGTGACGCTCTTTCAAGCTGTGATGAAATTTTTGTCTAGATCAAAATTTAGTCTATAATGCAAATGGTCCATTGTACATCAGTATAGGCGCACAGTTTATATCATACTCACAGTTAGCCAAATGCTTTGCAATTCAGCACGTTTTCGACAGTCAAATTCTTCCTTTGCTTATACACAAGTCTTCGACATTCAACAGTTGATAATATATTATGGACATATATGGTGATAATAACCATTTGCATGGCTACTGCGCGATATTTGGTTACGACTGCGCGATATTTGATTACGGCCCTCAGGCTTCTGGTATATAGCAGACTCTAATTGCATATAGGATCAGGTGTATTTGTATTATATAGTTTGACGGTTATAAGCGGTTTTGGCGCATTTGGCCAGAAAGTATGCATGTATGTTTCACAGAAAAGATTCTATAATATATTTAAATAAATGAGTATTTAATAAGTTTGTTTATGCTCCGGTATTTTTATCTTCCAAATCTACCAAAAATATTCGCACAATACAACAGTAAAGAAGTAATAGAAAAAATTATACAACGCACACTCTAGATCTTGCAAACAAAAGAATTGAAGTGTGTAACAATCTGAGGTAGGTAATCTTCGAGTTATGCCCCCGCAAGGGTACTTAAAATCTCAGCTGAAATAATTAGCCCTTCTCTAACGTGGATTTTTAACCTTTGTATCAAAACCGGAGTCTACATCAGGGGCGCACATTAG